GGGGCTGGGGGAAGGTAGGTGGGATGGTGATAGGTGGATGCAGGTGGTCAGTGGGAAGGGTGAGGCGGATAGGTGGGCAAGAAGATGAACAAATAGTGTCAGGTCATGGAGGCAGGGTTGGACATGGGATAAGGCAGGGGGTAGGGAGATTTTGAAACTGGTGAATTCTACTTTGAGGCCATTGGGTTGTAAGCTCCCGAGGCAGAATATGAGGTGCTGTTCCTCCAGTTTGCGTGTGACATCATTGTGACACTGGAGGCGGCCCAGGATGGACGTGTCACCCAGGGAGTGGGAGGGCGAGTTAAAATGGTTGGCAACTGGAAGGTGTTGTTGACTATAGCATACAGAGGGAAATGCTTCACGAATCGGTCATCGAGTCTGCGTTAGGGCTCACCGATGTAGAGGAGAGCACGTTGGGAGCAACAAATGCAGCAGACCAGGTTGGAGGGTGTACAGGTGAATCCCTGTCATATTTGGAAAGATTATCTGCGGCCTTGGACGGAGGTGAGAGGGGAGGTGTAGCACCTCCCAGTTGCAGGGTAGGTACCAGGTGTGGTGGGGTTAGTGGGGAATGTGGAGCGGATGAGGGAGTTGCAGAGTGAGCATTCTCTATGAAAGGCAGATAGGGGTGGGAAGGGAAATATCTCTTTGGTTGGATTGCAGGTGGCAGGAGCGGCAGAGGCTGATGCGCTGGATGCTGAGGTAGATGGGGTGGTATGCGAAGGGTGATGAAGGGTGTAAACCCGAAACGTCGACTTTCCTTCTCCTCTGATGCTGCCTGAACTGCTGTTTTCCTCCAGTTCCACACGGTATTGATTTGGACTTCAAGAATGACTGATCATCACTGGAAACTCTTTCATTCGCTAACTAGGGCAGAAGGAAGCCACATTTCTTCAGGAAATTCTAAATTTATTAGATGCAACCTACAACTGGGCAACCAAGTCATCTTATTGAAATCACAAATATAGATAATAAACTCTAATGGAGTCAAACTCTCAATCTTGGCAACTTAAGCTAAAGCAAGGATCTATAGAACACTCAATATCAGTAGTAAGAGAAATAATGGAAACCCTAATGAAGGGGAGAAAAAAAGGCAGGAAAGCATAGAGTCGTACAGCATGGAAACAGACCCTTCAATCCAACTCATCAATGCTGATCAGGTTTCCCAAATTAAACTGTGTCAAAACTACAATGAATAATTAACATGAGTTTCAAAAGGAAAAATCTTGCTTGGCCAACCTCACTGAGGAAATGGCAAAGAGCAGACAAGGGCAATACCTTCAATCGGGTATGATGTGACAGGATAAAGTCCAGAGCATACAATCAGGGAACAAAAAGCAAAACGGATAGCTGACTATCTGCAACGGGTACGTGTAGACCACCTTTAGGAGCATTATAAAACAGTATATGGCATCTAGGCAGTAAAGGCAGCATTAGGTCAGGTGACCAAAACACAAGTTTCAAGCAGTATCTTAACAGGAGGAAACAGAGGTAGAGGTGCAAAGAGGTGTACGGTGGAAAGGCACGGCTACAAATTGCAGAACGTTAACAATTGTGAATGCAAAAGAGGCCAGAGGCAACACAGTTATCTTAGAGAACTGTAGTGTTGGAGGGGATTTGAAATTGAAGGGGAAAGACCATACAGAAATTTGGAAAAGGTTGAGTGTTTTAAGATCAAGATGTTGCTTAATTAGAAGTTAATTAGGTCATCGAACACAGGGGTGATGGGGAACAGAACTTGCTACAAACTAAGATGTGAGCAACACAGTTTTGGATAACCATAAGTTTATGGAGGGTAGAATGTAAGAAATTAGCCAAGAGAGCTTTAGAAAATTTGAGTACAGAAATAACAAAGGGACAATTCAGCAGCAGGAGAGCCGGGAGAGTGTGAAGTCAAACAACGTTGCTGAGATGTTCTTTGTGACAGAATGAATAAAGTTAAAGTTTCATCTCTGGATTAATTACAACACCAAGGTTGCAAACAGACTGACTAAACTTCAGACAGTTGGCAAGAAAAGGGATGGAGTGGGTAGCTAGTCAACAGAGTTTGAAGTGGAATCCAAATATAATGGCTTGATAGAATCATAAAGTCCCTACAGTGTAGATAGAGGCCATTTGGCCTATCAAGTCTGCACTAATCCTCTGAAAAGCATCCACCCTATCCCCATAACTCCACAATTGCCATGGTTAACCCACCTAGCCTGCACACTACGGGGCAATTTAATATAGCCAATCCACCCAACCTTCAAATCTTTGTCTGTGGGAGGAAACCACAGCATCTGGGAGGAAACCCATGCAGGCACAGAGAGAACATGCAAATTCCATACAGACAGCCCAAGGCTCAAACCTGGTCCCTGGAGCTGTGAGGCAGCAATGTTAACCACTTAACCACCGCTTCAGTCTTCCCATTTCAGGGATGTGTAGATTAGGTGGGTTATAGGGGAATGGGTCTGGGTGGGATGCTGAGTGTTGGTGTGGACTTGGTGGGCCAAAGGGCCCGTTTCCACAGTGTAGGGATTCAATGAAAAAAAAAAAAATTTAATCAGAAGAAATTTCTGCTCATCCAGAATCGGATGATGGGTATGCCTGGTAAACTATAACAGTAAAGGAGTTGAGAGAGGTGGTGGCAAGTTAGACATGAGTGCTGTCAGTGTACATATCAAATTTATGCTGCCGTTCAGACTGTAAAGGAACAACATATTTTTCCTTTTTGGACTGTAAACTGCAATAGAGGTCAGACATTGCTACATAACTGAAATATCAGGAGGGTTTTGCAAGTTTGAAAAATCAAGTGGAGCACATTAAAGCTGTTCAAGACAATAGCACTACTGGAGCAGTGAGATTGTTACATTGTTGCGTCAGAGCAGTACCAGGTGTTTGGGTTAAGGAAAAGATGCCAGATAACAACCCTGATTGACACAGTGACAGTTTGTTAGAGACTGCTGGGAACAACGCAACTGGAACCATCCAGAGCCAACAAGCAGAAATTACTGCTCTCCCTTCTGTGTGAGTGAAAGGACAGACAAACCAAAAATCTTGAGAAAGAATTTTAAACACAAGAAAGTAGATAGGTCCACCTGATCAACGACCAAACTGAAGAACGTCCGTCATTCTACAATCAACAATGTCATCATTGCTAACTCAAAAGAATTGAGACACACAACTTAACCCATCCGCGAGACCTGGACTTTTCATCTTAAGAATTTTGTTTTCCTTGTGTACATCACACCTACCTTTCCCCAGGCACACCCCTGTTCCCTCTATTTATTTCCCAGCTTCCTTCCCCGTCACCAGTCTTGCTGAAGTGTCTAGGCCCAAAACGTCGCCTCTCCCACTCCTCTGATGCTGCCTGACCTGCTGTGTTCCTCCAGCTCCATACTGTATTGACAGTGGACCAAAGACCTCTTTATGCATGACAACAATTCTGTGATTCATCACAGTCTCCTTTTCAACCTCTCCTCTTACCTTAGAAATGTTAATTCTCAGGTTAAACCACCACATTTCATCTCGCTCTGGTGAGAAAGCAGCTCTCTGACCCTTTGGGACCATGGGGACTTTACCCTCACCACCAGTGAAGTAATCAGTGTTCAAACAAAACAAAAAGTCTTTGCTATCTTTTGCCTTTGAACAGATTGCCAATGATGGAGATCCTGTTTCAAGCTTTACATGTTCCACCTGTCCTTGATGGTGGTTTTAAACCCCCAGTCTCAGTCAGCAAGTGAATACAAAACACTAGTTTCAATTTCTAACTGTTGCAATTTCTGATACTAGTTTGTGTGCTTTAATCAATCTCCTTTCATAATGTGTAGATTTATGCATTCTCACACATTTGTACAGACGGTGTCATACACTTATTCCAAATAAACATAAGGCAATTATTTTTTTCAAACAAGACAGTAATAAATTGTCATATTTTAAATTATTTATTTCCTCGCTCTTTTATTTCTTTGTACCAATTGCCAGCACACCACCTTAGCAACAACAGTCTGGTTTAGCATTCCATAATACTTCAGTCATATATGTTTCATAATCATTGCCAGTTTAAAAAAAATATGTTTTTGTTTCATGGTTCATCATACTGTTGCATAATTTACATATATTGGCAATGAACAAATTGATGAATAATTATGTTACTGCCAATTAAAAATAGGAAATTGTTTTATTGGGAGTCCAGAATGGAATTGCCAATTTATAAATATAATCCTCATTGCCATTGCACCCACATAAATTTGAAGAAATGCTTAAAAAAATAAAAGTACATGTAGTTCAATTTTTGTGCTGTACGTCAAAAGGTGTTCAGCATGGTTAAATGACCTAAATGATCAAAAGAACAAAGGCTAAGTATTGGAAGAAAAAAGGCATTATGGCACCATTAACTTAGCTGTTTCAAACGGACTGTGCACAAGCTATCTTAGAACACTCACTCTAAGTTATATAATCGCAACACAGGAAGCCGACGGAGGGGGAAAAAAAAAAACTTTAAAACTTAATATGACTGCCCATCCTCTAACATGCTTGCTGTGATGGTTTCCCACTTTTAAGAAAAAATCACACAGATTAGAAACTCGCAAATACACGGTGGGTTGAAGGACCTCGTCTTCCGCTGTATTGTTCTATGTTCCAGTTTGATTCTAGATTGAACTCTAGATTGACAGTCGACAACTGACAGCATACAAGTTGGAATATTTTCATTTGCGATATCCATGCTTTTAAATTGGAATATTCCTTTTCTTTATAAAAGTGGATGCATGTTCTTCCACTGAATCTAAACACACTTTTCAGGCATACATGAAAAACAGCATTTACCATTAAACAAACATTCCAAATTAGAGCAACTGCACTGTATTTAAACTGATGGTTTTCTGTTTTCCCATAGTTTTATTCTAGTTTAATAGTTCTAATAGTAAATTAATCCCAAAGCTACTTAGATACAAAGACAATTTAGATAAAGAGAACACAAAGCAGAAATTCATAAATATGGGAAACAAAATATATTTTACCTCAGGATCATCATCATCAACATCATGATAACTGGAATGATCTGGGTTGTTCAACTTATCAAGCAATTCTATAGCGAGTGTACGATTCAAAGACTGTGCCACAAATGGGTGCTAAAAGAAAATTGAAAGTATAAGAGAATTATTTAAATGTTAACGCTCACAAACAGTAAAATCATAAAATGTACTATACTTGCCTGCAATAACTTTTCAGCGGTAGGTCTTTTTTTGGGATTTTTAGTAAGTGCCAATTTTACAAACTGATGAAAATTAGTTGACCTGAAAGAATAACAATCTATAATGAATCAACTTAGAAGCTGGACAGATCTAAAACAGACAAATAAATGTCTAAATAATTCATACCATTTTATCTTGTCCTTCAACTTCGGAGGCTGGAAGTTGCTCTTTGTCATCAAAAACAAAGCCCTAAAAAAAAAAAAATCAGTCAGCCGTATAAATTACTTTTTGTACATATATATATATATTCATTCACAAGATGAGGGTATCACAGGGTAGGGCCAGCATTCATTGCCCATCCTTAATTGCCCAGAAGGCAGTTAAGAGTCAATCACATTACTGTTGGTCTGCAAGCCAGATCAGGCAAGGATGGTAGCTTCCTTCCCTAAAGGACATTAATGAACCAGGTTTTTCTGACAATTGACAATGGACTCATGGTCATTAGACGGTTAATTCCAGATTTTTATTGAATTCAGTTTCCAACATCTGCCATGGCGGAATTCAAACCCTGGCCTCCAAAACGTAAATAAAAACCAAAAGAACTGCAGATGCTGTAAATCAGGAACAAAAACAGAAGTTGCTGGAAAAGCTCAGCAGGTCTGGCAGCTTCTGTGAAGTAAAAAACAGAGTCAACATTTCAGGTCCAGTGACCCTTCCTCAGAACTGGGATGTGAACGCATCCAGTTCTGAGGAAGGGTCACCAGACCCGAAACGTTAACTCTGTTTTTGCCTTCACAGATGCTGCCAGACCTGCTGAGCTATTTTTAGCAACTTCTGTTTTTGCCCCCAAAACATTATTTGGGTCTCTGGATTAACAGTCTAGCGATAATACTGCTAGTCCATTGTCTCCCGGAATTATATAAATAAATGATATAAGACATAACTCTGAATGGAGAAGTCACAACTAATAAATGCCTGTAAATCACAGCTGTTAGGCAGCATCCATGGAGAGACAGCAAGCTAACCTTTCAAGTCTAAATGACTCTCCTTGCTCTCTCTCCATGGATGCTGCCTGACCTGCTGTGATTTCTAGCATTTTTTTTTGTTTTCAGTACAGATTCCAGCATCTACAGTAATTTGCTCCTAATAAATGTAATAATAAGTCTGCTTAAGTATAGAAGCGTGAAATTTGACTGTTCACAACCTGATTTGACCAAATTGAAGTAAATGAAGTGAGGAACTATTAAAAACCAAAAGAACTGCGGATGCTTTAAATCAGGAACAAAAATAAATTTGCTGGAAAAGCTCAGCAGGTCTGGCAGCATCTGTGAAGTAAAACCAGAGATATCATTTCAGGTCCGGTGATCCTTCCTCAGTGTGTGAGAGGAACAATTACCCTGATTAGACATTCCCCATAGATCATTTTTCTTACCATCTTTATCTTTCCTTTTCCCCTTTAGGTTAATTCATCAACCGCATCCATCAATAATATAATTGTTAATGATTTTTCTTTAGGTTTCTTCACTCATGCAAGACTTTTACATATTCATTCACCCCTCCAGACTGCTTTCCCCCAACCAGAATTTTGCTTCTGCTTGTTTTTCTTCATCTATTATTCTCATGTTTCATATCTTGTCCTTCATTGCTACTTACTTTTTCAATTATCCTTATTCATTCTAGCTTTACTATTGTTCTTGGTCACTCAAAGATAAGATGAGTATACACCTGCTAGTAATTCATGTCATGCTTCTCATCTCACCCAAATATGGTCTCCTGTACTCTGCTTACTCCATTTTATTTCTGTCTAGTTGTTTTTGCTGAATTTACATGCAAGGACTCCCAACAGGAAAAGTATGTGAAGATACGTTAAAGTAACAAAAACAGCGAGGGCTTCAGAATGATTTTTGGAGATGCAGCCGCCCAGTTTTCATGCAGATCTGAAAGCAGTTTTCCATCGTAGCACACAAATCTTTTGTTTTGTCTCATCATTTTTCATCTATTAAAAGAACAAAGAACTGTACAGCACAGGAAAAGACTCTTTGGTCCACCAAGACTGCGCTGACACAAGATGCCTTTCTAATCTAAAAACCTTTTGCCTCTACACAGTCCATGTCCTTCTAGTCTGGTACCTTAGATGGCTCAACTACCCTGACAAATTGCAAATTTTGCTATTGACTAATTTTAATTCTACTCTCCACTGCAATCATTGGGAGTAGTGCACAAAAAGTAAACTGACATTAGGGAAATAGTCATATTATAAATGTAGAATACTTCTTTATTTGGCACAACATTAATGTAGGTGTATAATAGATGACATGGATCGCTATTCCATCTGGATGATGACTGGAATGTCAGAGGGTCCACCATACTGTGGAAATAACAAAGTTACCATGCAGGCCTCTAAATTTTAATTGTAAACTATGAATGGAATATTAAAAATAGGACTCATATTTGGAAAACTTGCATGATTTAACATCAATGTCACCATATTTTAGAACATTTGAGTTTACCTTGCTAGGAAATAAAATAAATAGGGCTAGGGATTTCTGCAGCTTTAATACGTCACTTTCTACATCTGTGGTGGGCTCAGAAGCAGATAAAGCTCAAATGGTCAGCAAAATTGTTAGGCAAAATGATATGTGCTCCAAATTCAGAAATTCAAACTTATGCTCTGAATTCAGAGATTGTGCTGGAACATTTTCATCCAAATCAAACTAACCAACCAGAGGATTCTTGTGCAACAAAAACAAAGTTGATGGAAAAGCTCAGCAGGTCTGGCAGCATCTGTGAAGGAAAAAACAGAGTTAACATTTCGGGTCCGGTGAGCCTTCCTCAGTTCTGACTTTGTTTTTGTTCCTGATTTACAGCACCCGCAGTTCTTTCAGTTTGTACAGAGGATTCTTGTGGGTCGTTGAATATTGTGATATTTTATTAGGCAGCATTACTAATGAAAAGTGCTAAACAAATCTTTAAGGATTAATAAATATGATTAAAGTCACTGGAAATTGCTGTGCTAAAAACCATATGCTGTGCAATGGTGCAAGGAATTGTAACAGCAGCAACATTAACGCAAGAATTATCCATTACATAATCCATAAATATGAGGAATCAGGTATAGTGGGTCAAGTAAAGTTCAAACATCTAAGTAGAATAAATGCTGAGTGACCAATTAATGCATGAAGGAGCCGAATGTATGAACCTGCACCATTAACACTAACTAGTCCGCATGACTTCCAGTTTCAATAGGAAATAGCAAATAAGTGTAAAACAGCTATGAACACAATTTAACACGATCATAGAGAGCCTGTGTCTGCATGCCCTGAGTAAATGAAGTATAATCCAAAATTACAAAAAGGCTGACATTAGCCTCCTCAGGCCATTCAAGAGAATTATGTTCTACTTCAACTAAGTCAAAGCTCTTTGGTTTTGGATTGATTCTAGTTGTGTTTTATTTTTCAAATGAGAAAAATCAATGGTATCTAACAATTTCTAGAGGGAACCACTTATGTTGATCCAAAACTTATTCAGCTAAATATTTATGCTCTATGTCATACAGGAGACCCATAACAATTAAAAAGCTGCCATTTTTAGTATCAAACAACAGAGAAAGAAAACAAAGTGTACTAGTTCCATTCTTAAATTGCCAGCTTCAAATATTAATACAAAGGTCATTTTAAGGTGAGACAATTGTATTAGCATGTTGCTTTTTACATATAGTTTACACATATGTTTGCATTTTTCATGGTGTGTATGCTGAAACTTACTACATCATAAAATCCCTACAGGGTAAAAGCAGGCCATTCGGCCCAGAGTCCACACTGACCCTTCAAAGAGCTTCCCACCCAGACCCACCCCTGCGTTTCTCATGTTTACACAGCCAGCTCACTACTCATACTTTTGTAGTTCCTTTGTTTAAACTCAGGACTCTGGTTTCTGATTGGAATAGTTCACTTTCTATCCCAAAGAAGAATTCTGTCATGTTATGATATTTTTTCTTCAAGGTGCTCTCACAACAAGATTAACTTATTAACCACTTCTCATTGCACAAAAACCTATTTACAATAACCTGTTGTCCAGTTGGTTCCTCAACACACTAGTCTTCAAAATAAACCTTGTACACATTCCAGGAAGTCATCTGCTTCAGTTTTATTGCTAATGTGGTTTATCCACTTCACATGTATATTAAAGTCACCCAGCCAACATACCATCAAGGATTCAATATTTTATATTTTAGCAATTATTTTTAGACACTATTAAAATCAAGTTAATTCCACATGGATATGACATATTGCACTATATTTCTAGGGAGGGTGTTCACATATTTTCGTCTTTAGAGAATGTTTTAACTTCCAACCAATTACGTGAAATATTCTGTTACTGCCATTGAAAGATTTATTTATATACATATGCAAGTGATAAGTATCACTTGTAAAGACCACAGGGAATAACTATCCTGGTGTTAGCTGTTCTCACGTCACAAATTGCATTGGCGACAACAAGAATTTGAATATGTCCCAGACAAGCAAAGTTTAGCAAGGTGGAACCACTTGAGACCACCTATTTTGAAACAAATGTAGAAATTCCTGGAAAGACTCAGCAGGCCTGGCAGCATCTGTGGTGAGAAAGCAAAATTAATGTTTTCGGGTTCAGTGACCCTCCTTCTGAAGAAGGGGCTTTGTTTCTTATTAACAGCATCTGCAGTTCTTTGGTTTTTTCCAGCAATTCCATTGCTTGCTGTGTGAAGGTTTATGATGTATTACTGCCGTTATTATTTGGTAACTTGTGTTGTAAAGTGGACAGAATCATGTAAAGCTTTAAGTTTGCTTACTATTTCTATACGGTGTTAAAAAGTACATCATTTTAGTTTCATTATTGACTTCTGAGATGGGCACCAGGTTTTCTGTAATTCTGTTAATGTGTATCCCAAAGTAGGTTTTCAAAATCATTAAGGTAAATAGTTCAGTGCATTATAAACAAGGGAAGAAGACAGTTCTTTAAAAAAGTGTTGTCTAACAATAGGAGTCCAACAGCACAAAGACAGAACCTTCCAGAAAGTCAGGCTAAGTGCAGCTCAGTCAGACAGCAAAGGTGCTGTTAGTTCTAGTAATCCCCAAAAACAACGTTATAGAAAAAAATTTCCGAGTGACATTAGTGAAACTATCCAGAAAATAGAAACATGTACTCATGTACATCTACATGGTCAGAAAGTGTTCTCTTCTCTTACTGTGCAAGAAACATTGGTGCTCTTTTGTTAAAAAGTATATTGGCAGCCAAGAGGAAACAGGCCATTTTTCCCATCAAATCCACACCGACCCTCTGAAGAGCAGCCAACCCAGACACATGCCCCCCCACCCTATCCCTGTAATCCCACATTTCCTACAGCTAACCCACCTAGCCTTCACAACCCTGAACACTATGGGGAATTCAGCATGGCCAATCCACATAACTCGCACATCTTTGGACTGTGGGAGGAAACCAGAACACCCAGAGGAAACCCACGCAGACATGGGGAGAATGTGCAAACTCCGAGGGTGGAACTGAACCCGGGTCCCTGGTGCTGTGAGGCAGCAGAGTTAACACTGAGCCACCATGCCTAGCACTGTTTAATGACTGACAAATATCGTAAACAAATAGTATAAATTTAAAAAAATTCTGGTTTTTCTCATTCCAGATTTCACTTTGGGATGTGATTTATCCAGTACTACCATCAAATGGCATCCTAACAGGTGGCATATTAAAATCATCCACTCAATACTCATTCTTCTCTCCATGTCAGATGAACAGTGAAACTTGAAAATTTTGATCACCGAGTTTAAAAGGCAGACTTTGACATTTGAGTTTGCAGACAGAGTACCAGAGCACTCTTATTCACAAATCTTGTGCACTCTGATACTGGCCTTGAATTCTTCTTTCACTTCTCAGAGGATATAGTCTGACATCTTAGCAGGAAACATAACCATTTTGCCAATAATGCTGTGTCACCTTTTCTTCCAACATAAATTTGGGAATGTAATTGTTATTCTTTCACAACAGATTCATTATAAACTATGATGCTCAGATTAGCATTATGAATTAGCGGTGAGAGTGCTGCTAGAATAGGTAAAATAGGCATTCAGGTGAATGCCTCCCTAAATATGGACAATGTCACCATCTTCTGCTTGAATCCACCGTCTGTGTATCGACAAATAGCATCTGGGACCAACTCAATTTGGCCTCAGACCCAAGACACATCAAAGCAAGAGCCACGCTCAAGAACTGGGCCAAATGATCCTTTGTCCGCTTCAATGACAGGTCAGATCACCTGAGGTGCTGACTATAAAGGTTGTTGGTTTTTTTAAGGTGAGCAGTGTGCACGAAAAAAAACTGAAAGGAGCACCTTGTTATAGTCAAACAAAAACTGTCAGTGTCAGAGCAACACTCCTCTTCCAGTGTGGGTACAACGCAGATCATCAGTTGCAAGGCATAAAGTGTTGCTGTAAGAGGTCCAGGTCTGGCCTATTCTCGCCTGAACTACCTTTTGCTTTATCTGGAAGTCAAAGTGGACCATTTTCACAGCCACATGATGCCTGAAACTCCATATAGAAGGGTAAAGAAACACACCCAAAATGCAGCCATCTGAATCTGGACATTTTGTGCCAGTTGCATAGCTATGCATAGAAACTCCCTATAAAGGTGTCACTATTAGCTGAGGTCTTACCAATTAATCAATGTTGCAAAGAATGAGTCTGGCCATGTTCACACAGAACCCTCCAAGTGTATGAGTCATGCTGTACCATCTGTCCTTTGTGAAGAAGGTTCCATAGAAAAATACCTTTAACCACAAGTCTATCAGGCAGTGGTCAGCACATAACATACAAGCCCTTGTAGGAAAAGGAGATGGTAGATCCTGTCCCTTGGTGCCCCATGCAGACTATTAGTCACTTGGCATAATGCCTCAATGCCAGAAGTTACAGCCAAACACTAAGACACAGTTTGGCTGATGGTGAAAAAGGCTCTCAGATCCTTCCTACATGACTGGAACCTACCCCTTTTTGCACATTACTCTTGAGGTGGCTAGGATGGGGAAATGACTTGTGGACAAAAAGTGTAAAAGAAAATCTAGAAAGAGATACAAGAGAATAAAACCCAAAAGAACTGCAGATGATGTAAATCAGAAACAAAAACAGAAGTTGCTGGAAAAGTTCAGCAGGTCTGGCAGCATCTGTAAAGAGAAATCAAAGTTAACGTTTCGGGTTGGTGACCCTTCCAGAGTTCTGAGGAAAAGTCACTGGACTGAAATGATAACGCCTATTTCTTTTTGCAGATGCTGCCAGAACAAGGGATACAACGTTTGTTCAGCTTTACCCCAAGCAACTCCATCGCACAGGACTCTGTACTCTATGGGTTGCTACCAGGAACGCGCATCACAATCAGTCCTTCCAGTGTAGTTGGTGCCATCAACTCAGTGCAACCTGTTCTTTGGTCTGCCCAAAATTTGCTGAATTTTCCAATGAAAGAATTAGTCCTTGACTCAGTCCATGGTCCAGGATTACATGCTGAGGAATGCACTAAAGCTCCAAGCAGATGCCAAAGTGGTGAAATGTCACTGACTACGACCTTTCAGCCACGGTACACTGAATTCCTTCGCCACCGCCACATCTGTTCCCAGGATGAGGCATTCCACTCCCGAACATCTCAGATGTCCTCGTTTTTCAAGGACCGCAACATGCCCCCCCCACCGCAGTAGTCAAGAACGCCCTCAACCGTGTCTCCTGCATTTCCTGCAACTCATCCCTCATACCCACTCCCCGCAATAACAACCAAAACAGAATCCCCCTCGTCCTCACGTACCACCCCACCAACCTCCAGATCCAACGCATCATCCTCCAGCACTTCCACCATCTGCAATCTGACCCCACTACCAAAGACATTTTTCCCTCCCCACCCTTTTCTGCTTTCCGAGGGTCCACTCTCTCCGTGACTCCCTTGTCTGCTCCACACTCCCCTCCAGCACCACCACACCCGGCACTTTTCCCTGCAACCGCAGGAAGTGCTACACCTGCCCCCACACCTCCCCCCTCAACCCCATCCCAAGCCCCAAAAAGACCTTCCACACCAAGCAGATGTTCACCTGCACATCTGCTAATGTGGTATACTGTATCCGCTGTTCCCGTTGTGGCCTCCTCTACATCTGGGAAACCAAGCGGAGGCTTGGGGACCGCTTTGCGGAACGCCTATGCTCGGTTTGCACTAAACAACTGCACCTCCCAGTCATGAACCATTTCAACTCCCCCTCCCATTCGTTAGACGACATTTCCATCCTGGGCCTCCTGCAGTGCCACAACGATGTCACCCGAAGGTTGCAGGAACAGCACCTCATATTTCACTTGGGAACCCTGCAGCCCAATGGTATCAACGTTGACTTCACAAGCTTCAAAATCTCCCCTCCCCCTACCGCATCCCAAAACCAGCCCAGCTTGTCCCCGCCTCCTTAACCTGTCCTTCCTCCCACCTATCTCCTCCTCCCACCTCAAGCCCCACCCCGATCTCCTATCTACTAGCCTCATTCCGCCCCCTTGACCTGGCCGTCCTCCCTGGACTGACCTATCCCCTCCCTAACTCCCCACCTACACTCACCTTTACTGGCTCCATCCCCGCCTCTTTGACCTGTGTCTCCTCTCCACCTATCTTCTCCTTTATCCATCTTCTATCCGCCTCCCCCTCCTTCCTTATTTATTTCAGAACCCCCTTCCCCTCCCCCATTTCTGAAGAAGGGTCTAGGCCTGAAATGTCAGCTTTCCTGCTCCTCTGATGCTGCTTGGCCTGCTGTGTTCATCCAGCTGTACACCTTGTTATCTTAGCTGTAAACTATAGATCCCCAGCCTCCATTATATTAGGCAAAATGTCTTTTATTTTACAAATGTTAAGCATAGTTTTAGAAAATAATAGCAAAATTTTAAAAATTCTGGATCATGATGCTCTAAGCTTAAATAAATTGTATTTTTGAGTGAAATGAATTAAAGTGTCAACAATTTTGCCAATAACTCATTAATTAACATTGAAATTATCAGTAGCACATAGTACTACTTTACTTACCACGATAAATGTTCTGGAAAAAAATCCATCCCAAAATTTATTAAACTACAAGTACTGAAGACATCAAAACTCAGCTCCACCTAGCTGTAACTCTGTAAGGAACAGTGCAGCTCACAGGGCGATGTAATATAATCTGATATATACTCACGTATAAAAAATATAAATTAACTCAGTTATTTTGACATTGTCAAAATCCAATTTTCCTAGTCATGTCATATAAATGACAAGTGCTGCATAGAACTTTATCACCTACGATCACAAGACTTGCAGCTTAACCAGCATAAAGTAGCTACTGCTTAAATTGGGTTACTGTATTTATTCTTTCAAGGGATGGCAATTGCAATTGAACCGACTGGTTCAATCTGTCACTTCAGAGAACAGTTAAGGGTCAACTACCTAGTCATGGATCTGGAGTCAATTGTAAACAGAACAGGTAGGATGACAGATTTTGTTCCCTGAAGGGCATCATTTTGCAACAATTAATGATAACTTTATGGTCACCATTACCTGTACTAACTTTTGATTCCATTTTAAAATAAGCTATTGAATTTAAATTCCATCAGCTGCCATGGTGAGATTTGAAACCATCTTGAACCCACGGCCCCACAGCACCAGCCTAAGCCAATGGATTACCAAAATCAGCGACATCTCCATTTCTCCACTATCACCCCCATTCTTTAAACAGTGTTAATTAACACTGTGCTGATCATATTATTGGCAAGCCACAAAACACGAGTCTGCATTGCTGCAGGTTATATCATTATTTCAGCGATATTTTCAAATTTTACAACCTGAATCAGGGTGCTCACCAACTTTATTTCCCAGTAGTATAACTTCCTTGTGTCTTGCAAAATCAACATTTAAGTTATAAAATATATTTTGTCAGTGCAAAAGAGGGACCAGTCTTTAGGTGGTAAAACAGCATCAAGGACTTGTTTTGGTTCTTACCTCATTGGATGCAAGTCAAACATTGGTGGCTGAAGTTCAGCTAGCTCAATACCCGTTATGCCAACTGCCCAGATGTCACACAGTTGGTTATAACCTCCTTTCCTCTCCACAGCTGCGACCTCTGGGGCCATCCTGGAGAACAAATAAAGTTCACAATTTACACAGACCTGCGGCTTTCAAATTTTCGTGCAAGATGAATAAAAGCAAAATATTTTCCTAATTATTTTTAATCTCACATTTATTAAATATTTGTAAATGCCTCGGAAACTTTACTTCCGCTATAAGCTCTATAGTGATTTTGTTAACAATCACAACCAATTATATACTTCACAACAAAAATCATCTCCATTAAGGTTGCTCAATGAAGTGAAGGTATTTGAAATGAAACATGTCATTCATCCCAGTAAGCGCTAATGGAGTAGTCAATGAATCACCTCCTCAGAAACCACATGACTAACTCTCACCAGAGCTGAGCAGAGAACTTTAGGCAAGGGAGCAGGAGCAGAAGTTTTTGCACAATCATGCCAAGTCTTATGATGCACACAGCCTACGAAACAGGATTCAAATGTTCGTGGCTTTGCTAGATATATGGCAGGAAGATCCACCGCAAATCAAGGTGAAAGGCAGTGGAAATAACGACTATGTTCCTTGATGAACATAAAAAATACAGTGCATTTAGATACTAAGTATCCTAAAGGATATTTTTCAGCAGGACAAATAAATCAATAGTTGAGTACAAGAAAATTACATAGATAGCATCTTAAAAAGAACTTCAAGAATTGTTTCTATGATAGATATGGTGATGAAACTGAAGGTTCATGCGTATGTGCATTTTGGTTTTGCTTGCTGAACACAAGTTGACAACTGGTAGAAGGGGAAAGCAACAATACCCACAATTCCAAGCAAGATGATGTTATTCAGGAGTTCCTGGGGAACTACCTAGAGGATTTGGGGTGAGAAAATTCCAGATTGATTCAATTAGTGCTCCAAAGTCATTTGAGAGAGAAGCATGTATCAAGTTCCAAACTGCTGAGAAGCCTTTGGATTAGTAATGTGTTAAAGTTCCTGTTGGGAATCTGACTTGCCCAGTTCTGATACAAATTGGGCATTTCCTCTATAACAATTGGAGCCACGAAATCTAACAACATCCATGTTAGACATATTCCTGAACTATGAAGCTCATAAAATATTAAATAACAAGTACCTCAAGGTAGAGAACTCAGCAATCCTTGAATCATAACATTCTTCAAACAACATGGCAATTTGTTTGCTGCTTTGAAATAATGAAATCTTTTTGCCTCACATGACCTAATACTCCAAAGGACCAGGAGCTGACGAGATCTGCTGTGGTGATCAATATAAACCAGCTCCTACCCATAAAACAAATTAACTCACAACACCTCAAAGGCTGACGAAGTGTTTGATACTATCATACAATGAAAAATGAATATCTTACAAGGTAGGTAGTTTTTAAATTGTTATTCAGGTATTTTGCTAACAGTGCAGAAGCTATATGACTCTGAAAGGATCCAGTACCAGCTGTACCTCTGCTCTTAACACTATGTGCCAAAAAGTTACCAATATTGGCCAACTGTAAACAGCAATGAAGGGTATCACACGTATAATACTTAAGCAAGCAACTAATGACTCCACTAATTCCATCACCAAGTTGGCCATGTCACAAAATTATTCAACATAATTGTTTTATGACAATTAAGCACCAGGACAAGTTCCAAGTATCATAAACAAAGAAATCATCAAATCATTAAAACCTTCGATCTTATCTGAATGATGAGTTAGCACATTGGGACGGTTCAATTTTCTTATCAAATAAAACAAAATGATCTTGTCAAAAAACCTTGAGTTTGTTTTTAGAATTAATCAGTCCTCATGGCCTATGGACAAGAATGAATGACAGTTAAATGTGCACAAACAGCTGGTTTTCAGATTTAGCTCTATCTCAGTGCAGATATTCTAGAATACAAACGCAAATTACACATTCTAAGAGGAGATCCAGTCACACAAACTTTTAACACTTGACACTACAAAGCCAGTTAAAGTGCTTTTCTGTAAATTGCTCATGATTTCTGAAACCAAAATAAGAACCGACACAGACATCAACAGCATCTAATCATCACAGTCAGCTGAAAATATTCTGCCCAAAAGCAATCTCTTTCCTCTTCCCCTTGCTGTCACTGCTGCGGCCAGATTAAGGTCTGCAGAGGTCTGTTTGTTTCATTAAGGTCTGTTTGTTCTTATTGTTAACTAGAAGTCTGGCAATCTGTAGTAACTGGTGAAATTCACTAAGTTCAAATGCACCTTCTACAACCCCTTTCGAATTGGGGAAAAGAAAGGAGAAGAAATACATATGGAAAAATGCAGCTCAAGGAAACGTAAAAGCCATGACACTTCCATAGAGATCCGCTACCTAATGTCGTCTCCATTTTCCCCATCGATTTGGATTTTCCTCTTCAAGTACCAAAGGATAATCATGTTACCTCTGGGAAAAAGGCTAAATTCTAGCAAATGCAACTAGTCTCTAGCCACCATCATTTTGATTCCATGCCCCTGAAAGATTTTGCACAGATCGCTTCTAAGAATCTGAACAATATCTTGACAAAGACAAATTTAGATTTTGTGGAGGACATCATACAACAAAGTGACCCGAAGAAGGGTTCTGAGAAAGGGTCCCCGGACCTGAAATGTTAACTCTGATATCTCTCCACAGATGCTGCCAGACCTGCTGAGCTTTTCCAGCAATTTCTTGTTTTGGTACAATATAAATGAAATTATATACGAGTTTATTCTCTTGTCTTATGAGTACAGAAAGCTGGCTGGTTTCCTTGGATGTACAGGTAACCAGATAGAATGTGGACAATTACTTTCTGAATACGGAAGAAACATATCAATTACTTTGTGAATGACTTTGACACCACATTACTGTAAATTACTGCATGCCCCAGATGTGCAAAAAGATTAAGGAACTAAAATGGATTCATCAATTTTAAAAATGTATTCACAATTTATAAAGTATGCAGTCTTCAAATTACCCTTGAAGATATATTTAAGTCTATTTCAGCATTCATTGTTGTGTACTTTAATAATACCATGTTCGTCTCAATAGCTATTGTATCAAATAACTTTACCTTCACGAATAAAATGCAAAGAGTATTATGGAATAAAAGAACAAACCTTACCAATATGGAGTCCCAATAAATGATTTCCTTTTTGCTATAGTTGCAGTAATCTGTGCAGATACTCCAAAATCAGCTGAAATGTAAATAATAGGCTATTACTGATATTAACAAAATGTCGTAATTTTATGAAAAGCACATGATCTCAGAGGTACTTTTACGGTATAGATCCTTCACTCTTCCTTTCTGGGTCATGCTCTGGGCCTGTACCTCTATCATAACGCTAGATTCATCACAGCAATCAATGTGATTTCAAATTACTGACTGCTGTGCTTAATAATGTCATTTGGGGTCCAGTTGTTAGTATTCTTGGCCTGAAACAGGTGGTTTCGAATTTGCATTCAACTCCAGGACTTATGCCAAAAGATCAAGGTCAATAGTCCAGGGCATTTCTGAAGGAGTGCTACACTGTTGGTAGAGCTATTTTTTGGATAAAATATTAAACCAAGACCCTCTCTGGTATCCATGAAAGATCCCACAGCACTACACCAAAGAAGAGCAAGGAAGTAATCACTGGTATCCTGGCCAATATGTATTTGTTCCTCAATCAAATCTCAAAAAAGGATCTACCCCTCCACAGTGGTCGAAAACGCCCTCAACCGTGTCTCTCACATTTCCTGCAACTCATCCCTCACACCCCCTCCCCGCAATAACAACCAAATCAGAATCCCCCTCGTCCTCACGTACCACCTCACCAACCTCCAGATCCAACGCATCATCCTCCGGCACTTCCACCATCTGCAATCTGACCGCACTACCAAAGACATTTTGCCCTCCCCACCCTTAACTGCTTTCCGGAGGGACCACTCTCTGTGTCTCCCTTGTCCACTCCACACTCCCCACCAGCCCCACCACCCCTGGCACTTTTCCCTGCAACCGCAAGAAGTGCTACACCTGCCCCTACACCTCTCCCCTCACCCCTATCCCAGGCCCCAAGAAGACCTTCCACATCAACCAGATGTTCATCTGTACATCTGTTAATGTGGTATACTGTATCCGCTGTTCCTGATGTGGCCTCCTCTACATCTGGGAAACCAAGCGGAGGCTTGGGTACTGCTTTGCGGAACACCTACACTCGGTTCATGACAAACAACTGCAGTCGTGAACCATTTCAACTCCCCCTCCCACTCCTTGGACGACATGTCCATCCTGGCCTCCTGCAGTGCCACAATGATGGCACCCGAAGGTTGCAGGAACCCTGCAGCCCAATGGTATCAATGTGGATTTCACAAGCTTCAAAATCTCCCCTCCCCCGACCGCATCCAAAACCAGCCCAGCTCGTCCCCGCCTCCCTAACCTGTCCTTCCTCCCACCTCAAGCCCCACCCCCATCTCCTACCTACTAACCTCATTCCGCCCCCTTGACCTGTCCGTCCTCCCTAACTCCCCACCTACACTCACCTTTACTGGCTCCATCCCCACCTCTTTGACCTGTCTGTCTCCTCTCCACCTATCTTCTCCTTTATTCATCTTCTATCCGCCTCCCCCTCTCTCCCTATTTATTTCAGAATCCCCTTCGCCTCCCCCATTTCTGAAGAAGGGTCTAGGCCCGAAACGTCAGCTTTCCTGCTCCTCTGATGCTGTTTGGCCTGCTGCGTTCATCCAGCTCTACACCTTGTTATCTCATTACTATCACATTTCCTACATTACAACAGTGACCTCACTTCAAACAAAATTCACGGGCTGTAAGCATCTGGAGATATTTGGCGGGTGGTGAATGGTGCTATATAAATGCAAATCCTTTTCCTTTTTATCATGGCAATTATTGTGGATTGAAAATAGTTAATATTATACAAGACAAGCAATGCAGTTTAACTCTTAACTGCCTTCTCAAATGGCCAAACAAACCATTCCATCCAATAGCAATTAGGGATGAACAAAAAAATGTCGGTCTTGCTCATGCCACTACATCCCACTAAAAGAGTTTTAGAAATTATTATATCATCCCCACATCAATGACTGAGAAGTTTCAGGTCACTTAGAACTATACATAGAAATTATGATTCATGACTGTCAGAATAATCCTCTAACCTAAATATGAGGAGTATAATAAAACTAAACAACTTAAGAAACCTTATTTCTGGATTAATAATCAGCAGTGTGTTTTACTCAACAACTCCAATTGGAAGTCTCCACATGAATCTCATGAAACTCAACAGATGAAGAATTTAAAATCAGAAATGGATTTGTGTCAAGAGTAGTTCATGTTTAAAAATAACAAATATCACTATTCACAAAATAATCCGATAATCCAATTTTATATATGCGGGAATTCTTGAAATTCACATTCAGCACTGTCATTAAAAAAAAAAGCTTAACACCTTTAGTTTATTATGGATTAATATTTATAGGAGTGAAGGCAGAATTCCACCTTGCATAGTAACAGACAATGAGCCATCTTTCATTACATTCCTTTTTGTTATTTCTGGAACAAATAGCTTCTTTTCTTTCCTAATCGGAATTAATCCAATCGTTTTTCAAACCATGACACTGATTCTCATTCCAACACCCCTGCTGTAATCTGCTCCACAATAAAACAAAACTTTATTGAATTGTTTGATATAGACACCATTCTTCAAATCGTCTCCTTCTGGATGATCAATTTCTATGACTCTATGATTAATATTTTCCATTTTCTTTCAACTCCCTCAATTTCAATTTCTGTGATCTGATTTTCAAGTCTTTGCCTTGTAGAACCAACTTCCCTAGATCTATTAAAAAAAATGAAGAGCCCAATTTGGTTTGTACCAAAAAAGTGCAGCCATCCAATAAGCAAAACCTATAAGCAAGTTATCAATTCTAAAGGAAAGTAAAATATGTTCTTACCTAATTTCACATGGCCATTATCTGTCAGAAGGATATTTGCTCCCTTTAAGTAATGAAAAAGTCCATATTATAGTTCAACAGATTTGAATATTTTTCTTATAGATCTAACCAACTTTATTTATTCTTGCTGTAATCTAATCTGAATACACTTCAAAACAGTAAGAGGGCACTGTTAAGGTTCACAAAGCACTGTTTCAGAAACATCAAATGCTTTCTTGATTGCCACCATCTCTCCAATCTCTTGGTCGAATGCTTTCCACAACACACTGCTTTTCTCAAAAAAATTTCAGCTCAGGAAAGGAAAACAGTTTTAACCAAGCAACAAAAGATCTGCAAATGGTGGAATTCTGAAACAGTCAGAAATATCTATGACAGCAATTGATAAAAAAAAAATTAAGGTAACAGTAGACTGTGGCTGATTTTGAATGATGCTGAAGTACCTGACTTCAACATCCTGGGACGGTAATAAACAGATTCTTCTTCAAAGCAGAAATCTTACTTTTTTTTTTAAGCTGGATGACATGGTATGACTGGAGAGGGTGCAGAGGAGATTCAACAGGATGTTGTCTGGGATAGAAAGTCTCAGTTATGAGGAGAAACTGGATAGGCCGGATTTGTTTTCCCTGAAGCAGAGGAGGCTGAGGGGGTAATCTGATTGAGGTATACAAAATTATGAGAGGCATAGATAAGATTCTCACGATTTACCCTTTCCCCATAGTAGACATGTCTAAGCCTGGACGGCATACGTATAAGGAAAGGGTTTAGAAGGGATCTCAGGAAATATCTTTTTACCCAGAGGTTCACAGAAATATGGAACACACTGCCCAGACAGGGTGGTGGAGGAATGTACTCTCACAACCTTTAAGAAGCATCCGGATGAACACGTAAATAGTCAGGCATTGTAGGCTATGAACCAATTGCAGGTAAACTGGATTAGTATAGATCAATGCTGTTGAACTGCATAGATATGGTGGGCCAAAGGACATGATTCTACGATGTATGACTATGACATTTTTGTAGACGATTGCACATGGTCTACATGAAATTTTGGCTCATAAGTAATGAATGTCGACTGATTAATGACTGACCTCTTCAACAAAGACCATCAGCCCGGTTCATCCTTCTAACTAGTGCATCATTTAAAACTGCAATGGTGGCAGTTTGGCAGTCATCACAAATCTCATCCCGTTTCCCCTAAATCATTTGGCATCATCATCTTTTGTGCATCTCAACATGTTCAATTCTTCTCCTTTAATATACCTATTCTCCAGCATCCATGCAAACATACTTAAGTTTCTTACCTTGATATACTCGGTCGTTTCAATCTTTGCATTGAGCGACTTCTCAGACTTTTCAAAAAACCTCCATCAAAAGTCACCTTATCCTCACTTCATTCCATCACTATTCTCCTTTAATCACTCCTCTAGAGAAGACTGCTATCCACTCTAAGGGCCACTTCTCCACCTTTATGAATCCCATGGTCTCCCTTTGCTCTCATCATTTGATCTATAGACAAGGTCTTCCCTGGTCAATTGTTGTCATTCTTCTCGGTTCATAGTTTCCTGCCCCACTTTTTCTATGCTCACCTCTAGAAAAAGAATTCCAAATCATATACAATACCACTTTCAAACTCCCAACTGTTTAATTTTTAGACTTCTGTTCACCATAAAGTTCCACAGTTTAATTACACATCTTACCTCCACCCACAACTGCTGCGCTTCCAACAGAACCTATAACACTTCTTCACCCTCGTTTAGCCCACATCCTCACTCCATCAAGTACAAGATACATAAAAGGTGAATAAATACATAACGCCATGCAGCACTGGATCACAAAGCATTACCAGATCCTGCTCTACCCAAACCATTCATTTTATCACAGTAATCTTGTGAAGGTAACCCAAGCTCCATTCTCCATGCCCAACAATTTTCTAAAAAAAGTTCTTCCATTTATCCCTTCTTCTCCCACCTCCAGCTGGCAGAAGCTAAAGAATCTTTGTCCCTAAGATTGAGGCTACCTGTTTAGCCATCTCCACTGATTTGTAACTTCATCTCCAACTCAGCCCAAAACCTCTACATTCTCTCAGAACTCCCATTTCCTCTCCAAGCTCACTGTTTCCAAGCATTCAAACAGCTCCATATAAAGTCACCTGGCACACTATTCCTTCGCATGTGTTGGACCTTTCTGCAGGCTTTGCCTCAGTTGACTACACCATTCTCCTCCAACAGCTCTCCTTCAATGTTCAGCTGCAAGGAATAGCCATATTAAAAAGTTCTATTATTACCTGTAGAGAATCTCTTGCAATGGCTTATTTTTCCACACCATAACATGTGGGGGCAGCAGCAGGCCATTTAGTTCAGAGTGTGCTCCACTATTCAATGAGATTATTGCTGACCTAATAACCCACAACTCCACTTTCCTGTCTTTGCCCCATAACCCTTACTGATGAAAACTCTATCACAGCCTTGAATATACTTAAGGACTCAGCCTCTAAGCCCTCTGTGGTAGAGAATTCCACAGATTCGCCACCCTCAGAAGAAATGCCACTGGATCTCTTGTCTTAAATGTGCAACTCCTTGTTCTCAGATTATGCCCCTGGTATAGACTCTCCCACAAGGATGAAACAACCTTTCGGTTTTTCCCTGTCAACTACCCTATGAATCTTTCATTCTTCTATATTCCAACAAGTACAGGCCCAATCTACTCAGCATTTCCTCAAATTAGTCCATCTGTACGTGGTATTTGCCTACTGAACTTTCAGTGGAATATCTCCAGTGCTGTTGTCTCTTTCCTTAGATAAGGCCAAAACTGTTCACAGAAATCCAACTGTGGTCTGACTCGTGCCTTGTACAGTTTTAGCAAAACCTCCCTCCTTTTACACTCCATTCCCTTTGAAATTAAGGCCAACATTCCACTTGCCTTCCTTATTATCAACTCAACTTGGATGCTAGTTTTTGGTCATTTATGCACGAGGACTCCGCAATCCTTTGTTCTGCAGATTTCTTAAGGCTTTCTTCAATTAATTAATATTCCACTCCTCTCTTCCGCCCAACAAAGTGCATAATCTCACCATTTTCCCATATTATATCCTGTTTGCGAACTTTTTGCCAATTCGCTTAACCTGTCTATATCGCTCCGGGTCATCCTCACCACTCGCCTTACCATCTATTTTTCTGTCATCAATAAACTTGGCTATTGCACATTCACTTTCCTCATCCAAGTCACTAATATATATTGAAAACGATTGTGGCTCCAGCAATGATCCCTGCGACACACCACTGGTTATAGTCTGCCATCCCGAAAATGACCCCCTTTTTTCCCAACTTTAAGCCTTCTATTAATTAGCTGATCCTCTATCCATGCTAATATACTTCCTCCAACATTCTGGGCTCTTCTCTTGTCAAGTAGCCTAATCTGTAGTATCTTATCAATGCCTTCTGAAAATCTAAACAAATGACATCTACACTGCTTCCCCCTTGGTCTATCCTGCTTGTTACCTCCCCAAAAACAACTCCTAACAAATTTGTCACCTGAAACGTGACCTCTGGAATACATTAAACATCTATTCTTAGTCCCCTCCTATTTCTAACACACAACTGTCCCTCAGCAGCAACATGTTTAGATCCATACTCAATATCAGCATTCCCTCCCTCGATCCCTCTACTACCTCTTTGTTGTTAGACTGTTGTCTGACTCCCAGTACAATTAGCCCATTTTACTGGAATTAAACAAAGAATACAGCAACTGTCTTTTGCTTTGTCACAAATTACTGTCTTTCAGGCCATTTTTTCAGGTCAAACTGAACTGTCACAACTTTATTAATTCATCACAAATACCTGCACAATCTGTCGCAGTTTAAACCCTAAACGTTTCTAGAACTGCACGCAAATGTGTATGTGATGTCTATTCTCAACTGTGCTTAATAAGGTTCAGGAGTTTAAAGGTTAATTTATGCACTTACGGTGGGCAATCACTGTTTGTTGAAATAACAAAACAGAATTGCCCAACCAGAAACAAAGTTTGAGTGCGCTGCAAGATAGGAAATTGCTTGCAAACCTTCAATTCATATGATAAAAGCCTGAAATGAATTCAAAAAGCATTGAGACTATTAAGACCTAACTCAATGCGTTATCAGCATGTCCTTTTGGTATCTTTCTCTCTTACTTGCTTACGAAGATTACCTCCTTCAATGCATCTATGCTGATCACTTCCACTATTACTTGTGGTAATAAGTTCACATTCTTAGTGCTCTTTGGGAAGACTTTTGTCCTGAACTTATCAGATTGATTCATGACTATCTTGCATTTATGGTTCCTAGTAATGAAGATCCCATATGAAAACAGCTTTTCTACATACAGACAACAAATTCCTACACATTTTTAAATACCTCAGTTCTGTCACACCACCACAAACTCTTCTTTTCTAGAGGAACAGGAAAGCCCGAAAACCTGGTCACGTTCACTCCTGTTCATTATACATTCCCAGTTTCAGTACCATTCAATTTTATTTTCACATTTATCCAGTTCCTCTCTAACTTTTTCATATTTGAAATCATGACTTTGCACAGTACTCTGAGTACGGACAAACCAAGAATTAATGTATGTTCAAAACTTTTCTGATTTTCCATTCTATTCCTCTCAAAATGAAGTCCCAAACAAATGAAAGGTTTATTTACTTAAATTGCGTTAAGACTCTACTTTTATGATTTATGTTGTGCTCCATAATTTGGTCCATCTCCCTACTTGGACTATGCAAGCAGCACGTGCCTTTTTTATTCTACCAAAGTAAAAACGTTATTTGTCGAAGTTGAAATCCAGCAATAATTACACACCCGTCATGCAGGTTAATAATGTCTTCTTGTACATGGTTGCAGTAACAAAGTAACTTCCTCAGCAGTGCTCAAAATACATGGGGGGACCTCATAGGGATGACCAAAGAAAAAACATCCCTGTCAACACAATGGAAAGAAGGGATGAGCCACTCTTTCAATTACGGGCTGGCTCTCTCCTATGCATCCTACCAATAGATCCATTCGTGAACCTAGCGCTTGAGGGAACAGGGCGGGCGTATGCATGTGAGGGAGGGGGGCAGCTATCAGCGAGGGAGGTGTTTGGCAGGTGGGCAACAGCAAGGAGTAGTTTGCGCAATGTGTGCCCAAGAGCCAAGGAGGAACAAGCACACATCCAAAAGCAAAACAGAGGAAGAGAAGAGCCAGCAGAGCATTGTACAGGGAGATGGAGATCCAGCAAGATGGGTGGTGACAGGAGAAAGGGGCTATTAGATGGATGTGGTTGGAGGGAAATCTAAAAGTTTGGTTTAAGGGGAGTAGAAGGAACCTATAAAATGGGTCTTGGGAAAGATGAAGGGCGCAATGAAGAGTGAACAGCTTTAAACCTGTCAACAAATTAATATTCAGCTAACTACGATCCAGTCTGTGGAAGGGGTAGTAGGAACTGCAGATGCTGGAGAATCTGAG